CGCGCTCGCCGCCGCGGGCCTGCGCGGCCTGCTCACGCTGCCCCTGGCCGCCCAGCAGCGCCGCGTCCTGGCCAAGGTGAGCGCGGGCGTCGCCCTGGGGGTTTAGCCAGATCCTGCCTCCCGAAGTAAAGAATATAGCAATTTGGAAATTGGATTTTTTTTGAGGGGAGGGAGACGGGATCTCCCTATTTAGCCCAGCCTGGCCTTGAACTCGCGGCGATTTTCCTGCCTCAGCCTCCGGGGTACTGGGATGACAGGCGTGAATTACGTGCCCTGCTATTTAATGTGGGGGTGGGAGCCCTGTTCTTTTTCTGTGGATTGAGTGTAACAGTACTTTCCTTGCCAGTATTACCAAGTTCGAGTACATTACATGGCAAAGGTTAAAGTGATTTGAAAATAATAAGGACAGTACAGATTTTTTTCAAATGTAGGATTTCAAAAAGTGGCATTCATGCTTTTAAGATCATTGTCATTTTTAAAAATGGAAGAATAAAACAGGAAGGAACTCTATAGCAGCATGAAGGCAGAGACTTACCAGAGGGGAGGAAAAAAATGAAGTTTATTTTTGGTTTGGTATTAATAGTGTTATTTTCTGTTTACTGTACTGAGACATTAGGGAGAGAACAGTAAAGGCCAGAGTGCAGCTTTCATTTAATCCTTATAACTCCGTGGAGTAGGTTGTGCTATGTATATATGATATGTCTGAATCCTCCTGCCTCAGCCTGCTGGGATCACAGGCTTGTGTCATTACACCCAGTTTAGAGTTTCTTGACATGATGAGTAAGCTACATTTTAAGTGAGTTGAGACAGTAGAGAGTAAAATTATGTGTGGTTGTGAATAAAGATCCTTTATGTGCTCATAACAAATTCTTTTCTTTAGCTAGGTGGAAAATTTGCAACCAGAAATAAAAAACATTGCTAGGCGTCTTAACCAAGAAGTTGCAGTTTGTGCTCGTCAGTTGGGCTGGTCCCGAAAAGTTACCAGGTGAGTAATTTTATGCATAAAGGAAGAAGTTGTGTACGTTCTAGATTTAGCAAGAAATTAGTTTCTTCATTCTTTCATTTTATGTCGTGCCACTAAAGCATGATAGTTTTACATATTGGTCTAAAACAAAAGAAATAGAGAAGCAAAAGTAAGAACTTGTTCCTGTGATACTGGGCATCAATTTGCATACTAGGCAAGTGTTCTGCTGAACCACATCCCCAGCCCTAGAGATTTTTAATTTTAAGACAGGGTCTCACTAAGTTACTTAGTTTGGCTTCAAATTTGTAATCGTCTTCCCTCAGCATCTTTGGAATAGCTGGATTACAGGCATGTGGCACTGTTCTCTTTTTTGAGATTGCATCTAGTTCAGTTGTCTAGGCTGGTGTCAAAACTTTTTTTTTTTTTGAGACAGGGTCTTGCTTTGTAATGCATGCTGGCCTTGAGCTCACTATGTAGCCCAGCCTGGCCTCAAACTCATGGAGATTCTCCTGCCTCAGCCTTCCAAATGCTGGGATTAGCCCAGCACACTCAAACGTTTGAGCTCAAGAGATCCTTCTGCCTCTACCTGCTAACTGCTGAGACTACCAGACTACTGTTCCTATACTGGAGGGACTCCAGCCCACTGAAGAAAAGACTTGTAATCCAGTGATGATGGTGATGAATTAAGTGCCGTGTGAAGTTACAAAGGTGTCCGTGTCCCTCATGATACAGTTGGCAGCTCTCGAGGGAGGCACATCTGAGGGCTTCCTGCCTGTTTGGCAATTGTTTTAAAGAGCAGATAGTTCGTTAGGTCAGGTAGTTCCAGAGGCATGCTGATGCTGAGGACTGATCTGTTCATCTAAATTTCTTCAAGGGTCCAGAATATGCAGGTGTCTGTAGAGAAGTAACAGAAAGTAAACTGGAAGAAGAGAAAGGCTGTGTGTACTGCCTCCTTCAGTACGCTTGCATTTGATTAAATTCAGCAAAACTGTGGGTGAGGGCCTGCTTGCCTTGTACAGAATGGTGATGTAAGAGAGTTAAAGGTACAACCGCACATTTGACCTTTGGTACTAAAGACAATAATAGAAGTAACTTATACAGTACATAGATTGAAAGAATCATTGTGAGAGTTGATTGGACCACACACTGGTGTGTGGTCCAGGACAGACACATTGCTACAAAAGATATGTGGAGACGTCTAGAACTGAGTTTGACTGGAGTGCAGAGATCAGAGTGCAGTATGCTTTGTTAGTCCCTTTGACAGCGGTTGTAGTCATAGTGTGGTGGAGGTGATATTTCCCTCACTAAAACCTGATTGGCCAGTGTGGGTGTCTGCTGTGACAGTGAAGCACTGCTTGTAGTTAAATTTTCTCATTTCCCTCTTTCCTCTTCCCTCGTTCTAGGCTTACTTACCTAAAGAATATGAGGAGGCTTGTCTCAGAGCTGTATGTTCGGGATAACTGTCACCCTTTCAAAGCTACTGTGTTAGTCTGGATTCAGCTTCCAATGTGGATCTTCATGTCTGTTGCCCTCCGGAATTTGAGTACAGGGGCAGCACATTCAGACGGTAACTACTGCAGAAGTCCTCTTCTCCAAAAGGAGGTCTCCAACAATGTACTTTAGGGAAGGAAAAAACAATCCTAGTTTCTTTCTTTGTTTTTTTTTTTGAGACAGGTTCTCACTGTGTAGTCCAGGCTAGCCTTGAATTTGTGACAACCCTGCCTCAGCCTACCAAGTGCTGGGATTACAGGCATGTGCCACCATGGCCGGCTTCATAGTTTCTGTAACTACTATCTTCCTTTCAAGGCATAGAATTAGTGTTTGTTTCAGCAGCACATATGCTAAAAAGGAGTATAGAATTTAACACCTTAAGTGTAAACAGATCAGCTATGTTGGGAAAACACCTTGTGGTTTTTCTGTGGGGGTGGGGTAGGATAGGTATTTCTATCAACAAAAATAACCTGAATAAAACCAATGTAGATCCTCAGTGTGAGGGATGCCTTACACGAATTGCTTGTTTTTTATACTTGTGCCGTTTTTTAGGAATTCTGTTGTTTTATTTATAAAACTGTCACCAGGTTTTTCTGTTCAGGAGCAGTTAGCCACGGGTGGCGTTTTGTGGTTTCCTGACCTCACTGCCTCTGATTCTACTTGGATTTTGCCTATCTCTGTGGGTGTCGTCAACCTGTTGATAGTAGAGGTCAGTTTTTTGAAATAGAATTTGTTGTGGGGTTTTGATTTGTTTGTTTGGTGCTCAGGATTGAACTCAGGGCATCACACTTGCCAGGCAAACACTGTCCCAGTGATCTATGTCCCCAATCGTGCTTTTTGTTCTTTTTGGTTTTTGTTACTGCTGTTCTGGCCTCAAACACACATGTGTTTCAGTTGGTGGAGACAGCTCTGAAGTACAGTTCAGACTCCTTGAATTCTGATTCCAGATTAGCCCTGACCTAGACCAGTCCTTTAAACTCTTGTCTCAGAATTGTTATAATTAGAAAATGAATCCTGACTTCCAGAAAGACTTTCAGAATTTCTCTCAGCTCTAAAATTACATGATTTTATATGTTCTTTTTTCTTTCCTTCTTCCCTCCCTTCCTTCCTTCCTTCCTCTCTCCCTCCCTCCCCACCCACCTCTGGTTCTAGGGATTAAACCCAGGGCCTTATGCAGTGAGCTAAATCTCAAGCCCTTTTCTAACATATTATTTTGAGAAAAGATCTCACTGAGTTACTGAATTGCCTGGGCTGGGCTGGAATTTGCAGTCCTCCTGTCTCAGCCTCCCTGGGTGTGTACCACTGTGCCTGGCTAATCACTTAGTTTACAGTTTGCTTTTGGTAACGGTAGTAATTCAGATACCTAATCCATCTGGCTTTCTTCCCACAGTAGAGTTGTATTTTATGAATACATTTATTAGTCCATGAATTTGTGGATAGAAAACAGTCATACCTGGTTGCCATTTTCTTGCTAAGTGACCTTAGAAAAGTTACTGAATTTCTTCATAAATGAAGTGGAGAAATTTGTACATAAAATGTGTCTTCTTAGTCACCACCTATCCCCTGCGTAACAGTTTAGGGAGAGCAAACCTATACTTTCATAAAGCACTGTTCTCAGACAGCGTAGGCCATGCACTGACCTAGAAGAAGTTGTAGAAATTATTTACTTCAGTTGAAATCACACAGACCTTGTGTCCATTGATCCTGTTTGGAGAGTGTATTCTGTATTTTTGTTTGTGAGGGCCATATTTTTTCCGACGTGGAAAATGAAAGAGTTGAAGGTTGGAGCACCTGGCACAGCCTGAACATGGCCAGTGTTCTCATGTTTTCTTTTGTGCCGTCTCATGGCTGGTTACAGACAGTATGCGGCAGGCTTGTTTTTTGGTACCAGGAATCGAATTCAGGATCTCATGCTTGACAGGCAGGCACTGTACCACTGAGCTAAATCCTTGGCCATGCCAGGCATTTTTGAAAGGAAATCAGGTGTGTTAACTCATTTCATTCTTATAGTAACCGTGTGAGATGCAGGGATATACGAATGTTTCTACCCTATTTTAAGGAGAGGAAAGTATAGCATAGAAAGGTAAACTTTGTATGAGGTCATATGGCCACTAACAATGGAGGATGCCTTTTCACCCTAGCTGGGTTGGCTCTGGAGTCGTGATCTGAACAACTAATTCACGAGTCACAGCTGTTTTCCCTTTACTCTGTACAGCCAGATTACAAATCTTTTGGGGTTTTTTGCCAGGTGTGGTGGTACACACTTCTAATCCCTGCACTCTTGAGGCTGAGCCAGAAAGATCACTGAGTTCAGGCCAGCCTGGGGTACATAGTGAGACCCAGTCTCCAAAAACAAAACAGAAATCTCTGGCTATGGAATCTAGTCTTGAACCCACTGTGTGATCCAGGCTATCCTTGAATTCACAACGATCATTCTGCTTCAGCCCCCCGGGTGCTGGGGTTATAGGCATGTGCTACAATATTTGGTTTTAAGTTTTTTTTAAAAGATGAGTAGTCTATCAGTCATACAAATTCACCAGTAATTTACTTGTTATTTGTCTGTTTTTGCCATGCTGGGGATTGAACTTAGGGCCTTGTGCATGCTAGGTAAATGTTCTACCACTGAGCAGCAGCTCAGCCCTTTTTATTTTTACTTCTATTAAAATATAGGTGGGCACTGGTCGAAAAGTCAGCTTGTATTGTACAGCTTGCCTAATTTCGTATCCATTTTAATAATCATTATGTGTGTGTATTCTACCTCTTCAGGTTTTTGCTCTACAAAGACTTGGCATGTCCCGTTTCCAGGTGTGCGTCACTTACTTTGTGCGCGCTGTGTCAGTGCTGATGGTTCCCATCGCTGCGACTATGCCCTCAGTAAGTGACGCTGCGTGGTCAGCAGCACGTGCTCAGCCCCCTGTCCTGCACATGAACGGCCTGTTTGATGGAGCTTCGTCTGAATACTGGATCCTTTACCCCTTTCAGGGTTCTGGGAGAACCAGTCTGTCTCTGACACCACATGATACTTAATCTTGCAAAACACCTTACACGATACTATGACTATAGTATTTGCCTTATTTGATTAATTGATACATTGAGCTTTTTCTTTCTGTGTAGCCTGGACTGAGGAATTTAATATTTGGAAAAGAAAGCTTTGTGTCTGCCCATAGGAGTTCATATAATTTAATCTTATAACAGTGCTGTGAGGTAGGTACAGTTGTCCTTGTTTATACCTAATTCAACTTTGGACAGAAGTAGAGAAAGGAGTGGTGGTGTTAGTAGTTACTGCAGTTTGTCACATATTTCCTGCAGATCCATTAGAACTATGAGCTGTCTCACATGCATCTCCATCTTTACTCAAAGCCAGCAACACATAGACCATTAAGTAGAATTGAGTTGTTGCTGGTGTGGCGGCGCATGCCTGTGATTCCAGCACTTATGAGACTGAGGCAGGAGGATCGCCATGAGTTCGAGGGCAGCAAGGGCTCCAGTTCAATGCAAACCTGAACTCAGAGACACTGTCTCAACCAAAGAAAAAGTGATTGCTAGTAGTTAAGGTTATACCAGCAAATACAGAAGTACTTCATAGTGTACTTCGTAGTACAAGAGGAGTCTGAAGCAGTGTGTTGGGGCATTAAGCTGTCATTTGGACATGACACTTTTTAATGCTGTTTAAAGTGAGTAAGTGTTCTCATATCTGAAATAGGTACCATAATGTCTGTGAGAAATGATGAAATAACATCAAGTGCCGATTAAAGTACCTTTTACATAATGGTAGTGTTTTAAAACACCCTGTTATAGTTTATGTCTAGATGTCCCTCTAAAACCTCGTGCAGTTTTAGGTGGGGATTTTTTGGAGGTGGTTGAGTCTAGAATGTATGATTGATTCATGGTTCAATGCTAGGATTAAGGGTGGGTGATTGCTGGCTCAGTCCAGCAATCTGATTGGATTGGCATCACCCTAATCCCAGCAGTCTGGATAAGATAAAAGGGGCAGAAAGAGGCTTGTCTCTCCATTTTGCTCTTGTTACTTTTGCCGTCTTGCATTGCCCTGAACTGTTTTGGCCATGTGCCACCCTGTCTTGGATCCAGCCAATTATGGACTAAAACCTTTATAGACTGAGCTAAATAAACCTTTTAACTTTGAATGTTGGGTATTTTGTCTCAAGAATGAGAGAAAAGTAACTAAGACACCCTGTAAAGGTGCAAAAGTGCAGATTCACTGCATTTCTGGGGAGAAACAACTCCAAGTACAACTGAAGAAATGTATATGAAATAAAATAGAGTCCATGGTATTTCAGGGAAGGGTTGAGTTTAAAAAGACTAATTTTAAAAACATACCTTAGAGACACCCAGGTTTGTTCCTGGAATTCTGTCCTACATACTGTCTTGTCCCTGGATTTTGATGTCCTTGAAGGAGAACAGGCACTAACACTCATACCCTCACTTTTCAGTCGATTACCTTCTACTGGTTGTGCTCCAGCCTCATGGGCCTTGCACAGAACTTGCTGCTGTGTTCTCCACGATTTCGCCAACTTTGCCGAATACCATTGACCAAATCACAGTCAACTACTCCTTATAAAGACCTCTTTGCTGCCTTTTATGCCAAGTTCATATCAAGAAAATGACATATCTTACAGTAATTTTGAAATGATTACAGGTGTCACTATCACCCTTATGTATATAGATTTAGAAGTTGTTTAATTTGCTGTTATTTTAAAATCATAAACTCTGAAGACGGTGGCTTAAAATATAAGCCTGGTCTTTTTGACAGTAATGAAAATCTTTTTAAGTGCTAGAAATGTAGTTACGTCTAATTGTAAGAGTATAAAATTGGAACCAAGTATTGTCTCTAGAAAACTTTGGAGAATTGTTAGGGTTTGTGTCTCGGTGTCCCCGCTAAAGCCTCATGTAGCCATGGGGCAGGCTTTTAGAGTTTGATTGATTATGGGTGTGAGAGCTACACCCGCCCTGGGGTGGATAGTTTGCATATGTGAGGGAGAGAAAGAGGCTGCTTGCCTCCATTCCTCCCCTTTTGTGCTTGTTGCTTTTGCTGTGTTCTGCTGCCATGAGCTGTAGCCCTCTGCCTTGTAACCTGCCAAGTACGGACTAAAACCTCCACAAACTGTAAGCTAAATAAACCTTTCCTTTCTAATTTTGGGCGTCAGGTATTTTGTCCCGCAACAAGAGAAAAGTAACCAAGACAAGAATGAAATCAGAAACTGATGTCAACTTGTACTTAAAAAGTCTCACTCTCAGAGTTTTGTAAAGAGGATCCATTGGGGTAATTCTTAATATTTTGGGGTAGGGGAGGCTGTGCATCTGTTTGAATATCTGATAAACAGTTGAGTGCAGTTTTCTCTTCAGAAAACTTGTCGGTTCACACTCTGAGGACCTTCATTGACTCCCCTGAAGGTCTTCTGGTGACTGTGAGGCAGGGAAACTTTGTGGAACACCCTGAAGTTGACCCAGTGTGTGGCTGGAAAAAAGGCCTTGAAATCCATGCAGTAGAATAGTCTATGCACACAGCTTCCTAACAGCAGCATCATCTCCCATTGCAGCTTTGAAGAACAGAAGAACTATCCATTCCTGTTTCAGAATTCAAGAACTAGAGTACAGAGTGTAGCAGTACATACTGCTAGAGCCCAAAGTAGAGATTTTCAAGCATTGTTTATTTAATCAAAGGAAGAAAATGAGAATGTTAGCTGCCTATTGCAGAGGTGATTTTAACACATTGGGAACAGAGCTGTAATTAATATCAGTATGATTGCTGATGAATATATAAATTTCTTTTCATAAATTTGTTGTAACTTTTAAATTGGTACGAATAGTATCCATATTTGGGCAGTAATTCAGGTTTAAGCAGCTAGGTTTGGTCCATTTCTAGGCTTTATTAATTTTACTAATAAAAAGACTGGTAAAGTGTTAAGATTCATTTGTACCACCAGTGGTGCAAACTGCCTGATGAGATAGCCATGCATGTACGGTGGGGTCAAGCCCACCAAGAGCTATTAATTATTTGGGAGGATTAAATACTATAATAAATATATGATAGAGTCTTAGTGTAGGTAAAATGACAGGTAGTATAAGTTATTTGCCTATTTAATTTGGAAACAATAAAATTCTTGTTGAAATATTTAGAAATAAATTTGACAGTCATTTGAGAAAATTGCTAATTTTCATCGAGTTAGAATATGGACTGGAGGAACCTGAGGTGCAGCTGTCATCCCATCTCAGTGTTTTACAGTAAAGTGAAAACAGATACACTGTCATTTCTTTGTGTGATGTTTGTGGACTCTTGATGTGGTGAATTAACTAGCGTTCAACTTGAGGCAGCTTAGTGCTGGATGTGGAAGCCCCACCTGAGGACGATTGCCAACAGCGTAAAAAGAGAACTGGAACCAAAATGCTATGCTGTTGATTCTCGTGGAGAAGCTTGTCATGCAGGATTTTCTGCTATGAACTCAGCCGATCTCATCACTGGAGGAGCTCTGGTCTTTGCTGTCACTGAGGATGGCTGCAGTTCTCTTTGGGCGAACTCTGGTCCTTACCTTGAGTATTGCTTCCTGGCTTCAGTGCAGATCCCTCATCCTGCTGGCACACACTTTCTAGTTTCACCACTAATCTTTGTGCCTTCCCAGTGCAGATCCTTGATACAGACTTCCATGAGACATTGTTGTGGACCCTGTGCCTCCAGCTGGACTCATGCAAGACATTGCTGTGGCTTCCAGGCCCTCATCTGGCATCTTTGGGTCTCTAGTGTGTGGACAGATCTGCATTTTGCTTTTTGGGTCAATATTATAAAATAATTCTATAAATTATGTATCCTGTATTAAATCTATTCCTTTGCAAACCTTAACTACAAAAGTTGGCCTAGTCTTGTGTGCTGTGGTACTGGAGATTGAATCTAGGGCGTTTAACCTGTTCATGTATATCTCCACCCTACCCAGCCAGTATACCTCTGTGTCTTAGTTGCCCAGGTAATAGTTCCAGTAATAGTTCCTGTTAATTTTGTTTCTTAGAAACAGCTGAGGCTGGTCATTGTGCTGCATAGCTGGTCGCTGTCATGTATATTGTAAGAACCAATCCTCAACCGACAAGCCATTCTGCCTCCGTACTTTCTGCTTGCTTATCCTATGTAAGCCCTAGACCACCGGAGATCAGGGCCTGATATTCCGGAAATGATCCCAGTCAGTACCTGTTGATGTAAATAAATTTGCCTGCAAATCCTGGGTGTCATTTTCAGTGTTTCTGCTTGCTGTTGGCTCATTGCAATATGTCCCCCACTTAGAGACGCTTGAGTTGCAAACTGTCACAGGTAACACATTCATAGATGTGAACAAGGGTCAGGGATATGACTCAGTAGTACAGTACCAAGTGGCAAGCGCAAGGTCCTGAGTTTGATTCCCAGTACCCAAAAAAAATTCTGTCCATAGATGTGAACAAATCGTGGAAGCAGCTCGTGTCTGCTGTGCCCACTGTACAGTGCTCAGAGCCCAGGATGTCCAGAAGCAAGAGGAAAAGTAGTGGTGATGTGGAGGGGACCAATAGGAAATGCAAAGCAGTAACCATGGAAACAAAAGTGAAGATAATAGGTTGGACCAAGGCAAAAAGGTGACACATGTTGCTCACTCATAACATGAACCATTTAACTGTTGGCACAATTTTAAAGAACAAGGACAGCATCATGGAATATGTGAAATCTGTGCCAGTGAAGTCAACAAAATCTAAAACGTGTTGCTATGGAAATAGAGGACACGGAGAGACTTCTCTGTGTGGATCCAGAATCAGCATTAGGTGAAGTCCCAATCACCTTAACGTTTATTCAGGGAAAAAATTAAAGCTTGTTCAAAGATTTCAAGAAAAAATGGGGTGGGCAGGGTACATTTTTTTACTGCCAGTCGTGGATGGTTTAACAGAGTCAAAAGTTTTTTTTTTTGTTTGTTTTTTTGAGACAGAGTCTCGCTGTGCAGTTCAGGCTGGCCTTGAGCTCACCTTGTAGCCCAGGCTGGTCCTGAACTTGCAAGGATCCTCCTGCCTCAGTCACCCGAGTGCTGGGATTACAGGCGTGCACCACCATGCTCAGCTCAAGAGTCAAGTCTAGGTCCAACCTTAGTGTAAAAGTAGGCAGTGAGGCAGAAACCATAGCTGCCCAACAATTTTGAATAAAACTTAGAGAAATTTGTGTTGAAAGTTTATTTATCCCAACAGGTTTTTAATGTCAATGAGACAGGACTATTAGAAGAGGATGCCAGATCAGTTACATCAGTAAGAGGAACAGTGACGCCAGGCTTCAAAGCAACAAAACACACCCTCACTCTGGTGACAGTGCTTCCAGTGATACAAAACTGAAGCCCCTCTTGGTTTCCCAGAGAGCCCAAACACTCAAGAACACAGCCAAGGGCTCTCTCCATTTTGCGGAGGAGTAACTCCAAAGCCTGGGTTACACAGGCCACTTTTCCAGGACTGGTTTTTCCATCACTTTATCCCAGAGATACAGAAATCTTTTTGTTTTTTGAGACAGAGACTTGCTATATAACCCAGGCTGGCCTTGAACTCATGGCAACTCTCCTACCTCAGCCTCCCGAGTGCTGGGATTACAGGCCTGCACCACCATGCCTGGCTCGAGAAATCTTTTTTGAAGAAAGATATCACATTCAACATGGTTTTGTTTGGTAATGCACCAGGTTGCCCCCAACTCAGGGATGACTTTTTTTTTTTTTTTTTTTTGAGACAGGGTCTCACTATGTAGTTGAGACTATGCTTAAACTCATGATGTAGCACATCCTGACCTCGAACTTGAAGCAATCCTCCTGCCTCAGCCACTGAGGGCTGGGATCACAAATGTGCACCACCACATCTAATTTCACGGATGTTTCATTCCAACATCAAAAAATAGTCATCTGCCACTGAATGCTGTGACACTCGTCCAGCCTGTGGACCAAGGAGCTATTGCGACTTTCAAGAAATATTTAGGTCACACCCTTCGTCAGGCAGTGAAGGCAACTGATGGAAAAGAAACAACCTTGCAACAATTTTGGTAGGATCTATAAGGCAATGAAAGCATCATCTTGGCTTGACGCGAGGCTTCTGCTGACAGCATGAATGGGGTTCTGAAGAACCTTTGCCAGTTTGCTCATGACGTTCATGGACTTGTGGAGATGACTGAGGAGTCCAAAGAGGTCTTCCACAGCTTAGTGAGCCCTAGTGAGAAGCCAGAGCTGGATCTGCAAGATGACTGCGCTGAGCTCCTCTCTTCAAAGCACGAGGAGCTGACTAATGACCTGAGGGAATTAGAGCCCAGGAAACAGACAGAGCCGAGAGGAAGACGCAGCCAAGAACAGGGAGATACCCAACACAGGAAATGGTAAGGGGGTCTTCTTTACTTGAAGAGGCAGTGGTAGTTTTTGAGGCATAGGACCCTAGTGTAGAATGATACACAGTTGTGGCAGCCATTCAGAATGCCATTAGGTGCTACAGAGTCATCCAGGATGAGAAGAAAAAGAAGCCACTACTCAGACATTGCTGGATGGTTTTCTCAAGAGGGTAGACAGAACTGAATGCATTGGAAAGCCTGCATCATCAGCATCAGGTGTGGCAATTCCATCTTGTCTTCCATCTCCTATTGCTGATGACCCTCAGCCCCACCATGGCCCTCCTGCCCCCTCCTCCATCAGAAACTCACTATCAGACCACACCACACAATCCCCGACACGCTGGCTGTTGTACTGCACCACCATCTTAAGTTTAACTTAATGTAAAAATAGTTTGTTTACAGTGTGTGTGTGTTTGGTTATTTTATGCTTTACATTGTGTATTTGTGTCAAAGGTGTATGAGGCTCACTTTCTCAGACTTACAAACGAATCTGACTTACGTTCTCGAAGTACAGGAGTCCTTTGTAAATCACGGACAAACTATACCACGAATAGGGAACTGACTGTACGGGTGCTCAACTTATGATGAGGGTGCATCCTGATATCTCCACCGTA